TTGCAATAAAATCATAACAAACATCACGTGTCTGTATCAGAATTTATGTTGAGATTTTCGAAAGTGTTTATTAATTTAACTAGTGCAGTTAGTAGTACAAAAATGTCGAATTTTGATGATCTACAATGTACATTTACAGAAATTGCTGAAGAACCAAAGAAACAAGAAAGAAACAACATTGGTAAATGTCATGGTAAAAGTAAAAACGCTTAAGCGCAAAAATAAAATTTTTAGTTCATGGCTAAAAGGTAAACCTTAAATAACTAAAAAAGCCGAAAAAGAGAGAAAAATTAAGAGTATTCTACTTTTATTTTCGCAGAAAAAGAAACTGACTATAAAAACCAACCTAAAATCTGCGAATCATATGTACAATCAAAAATCTAAAAAACAAAAAATTTTGAAAATAATTAATCTCTTTTTACGAATTAAAGGATAAAACAAATCTCGAAAATGGAAAAACAATTATGCGATAAATCTAAAAATTATAAACTTAGAGGTTTTAAGATGTTTCAAATTTTGCAAATATAAAAGAGCAACATTATAATCATCAAATAAATGAACAAAATAATCAGGACGCGTTGCAAGTAATAAAACCAATGCTTATAAACAAGCATTACGCGTCAGTATCAAAATTTGTGTTGAGACCTTCGAAAGTGTTTATGTAATGTAAAAACACTTATTTGCAAAAGTAAAATTTTTACTCCATGCCTGAAAAGTAAAACCTACTTGTGACATGAGTCATAAAAGTGCTCACTTTTGTGACGTTTGCGAAGAAAATATAAAAAAGTCTATATATACTCTTATTTCAAGAATAATCATTACATTGTAAAACTTATTCATTCAAGGACTCAAAGTTTAAAGAAATAAAAAAACTATAAAAAGTACTAAAAGTATATCAAATACATATACAAGTCTAAAAAACTGTTTAGTTTTTGAAGATCTAAACAGTTTAAACATTTTATGAGATACTTGATTAACTAAGAAAGTTGCCTCTTTAAAAAAAATTTTTGAACAATTTAAAAAAACAAAAGTAATTTAAAAAAATATATGTTAGAAATTTAAAAAAATAAAAAATCTGATAATTTCTATAATTATAATAAACTATGAAAACTAAAATTAAAAAAAAAGATAAGCAATTTAAAATAACAGAGTTGAAAAAATAAAAAAGTGTAAAAACAGCAAAAAATGCAAAATTTAAAACAACTTATGATGAATAAAAAACTAAAAATGTAAGACAGTTAAAAACTTCGAAATATTTACAAACTTAAACTTAAAAATCTGCAAATCTTGTTGATTCTTAAGAATACACAAATAATAAGAAAACACTGAAGCAATTGAATAACTCAAATAATCCGCGTATTTATTTGTTATAAACATGAGTTTGTTGCCCTGCATGATCCGGTTTTGTTCAAATATTTACTTCGCGAAGTTTGAGGCAAACAAAAATTATTTATGGATGCCTTTCAACTAAGAAAATTAGATAATATTCCGGTTTGTTTTTCAAGAACCTATGCCCCGAGACATGTTTCAATATTTTCCCGGCAAAAAATTGCCATGTCTACTGAACGAAATTTATGACAGTGTTTGCCAGTCAGACCTAGAGTCAATTAATCTTATCGAAGGAAATAACTTTCAGAATTCTAAATATGGAACTCAACTAAACAAATTTTCCTCTTCACAAAACCATTATAAATTAATGTAAATGGTTTCCACTCTTGACCTCTCCTTAAAAATCAATTTACCGAATTTAAAATGCAAATAGCAAGTAGTGGAATAAACCGTCGTTGAAAGCTCTGAGCTTTATTGACCGCAAGAACAAGTGCGTCACAGGTAGGAGAGTTTTGTAATCAGATAGCGATGTCAAAGCTTCATTATTGTTAGTAAAGCTGTCATTTAACACTGCGAACGTCGAAAAACAAACAAGTTTAGTCGTGTCAGAGGGAAGGTTTAATAAGTGCAGAACTGCAACTGCTGGATTAGTTTAATTAATGCGGCGAGAGCACTTTGTTTCTGACGCAAGTGGTGATCTAGGCGAAATTTCAACCATAAAAATTGATATTTGAGTGAATACATAATTAATTACCGTTGCAACAACAAAGCTTTCTTTCCGGAAAAATGCGAAAAATAAATTAGGTCTGGAGCGGATAATTTGTGGGGAGCACAGGGGCCGACTACATGGGTTAAAGTAAAAAAAAATAAAAATAAAAAATTCTTATTAAGATTTGGGATTTAGTATATATTATAATAATTTTTTAGGAACGTTGCATTCTTTAAAATCACTTTTAATGTCAAAGATGTTTTAAATTTTCTATTTTTCAATTTTCTCTTTCGTGAATTCTTTGTTTATGTTATTCTATTTTGTTCTTCCATTTTTCAAATTTATTCAAAATCTCAAATACTTCAAAACGACTAAACATTCTACATAAACTTTTTTGATACTATTCTAAAAAATTAAGGAAACAAAAAATTTTTTTAATTTTTTTGGTGATTTTTGAAAGATTGTACTGTACTGTTTATATTATTCTATTTTTGCTTTTGTGAGAAAATGGATCAAATTCATCGTTTATGTCACTCTATATTGTTTTTCCTTTTTTCTAATTATTCAAAATTTAGCTTTTTTTTAAAAAAAAAAATATTTCTTATTATCTCAAATACTTCAAAACGACTAAATATTACATAAACTTTTTTCATACTATTTCAAAAAATTAAGGAAAAAATTTTTTTTTTATTTTCTTGTGATCTTTGAAAGACTGTACCTTAATGAAAAATGGTCGTATTTAGATTTAAAAAATCCATTTTGAAACTTTAAGTTTCTAGTCTTGAGATCTTTTGGCAAATTTTTTTTTGAGCTACGGTTATTACGAAATCCTAAGAAATAGCGCGAGAAAAAAAATATGTATCTTTTTTTCCTCTTTTTTTTTGTTTTGGTTCAAGGACATGAAAAAAATTTTATTAGTTAAATCAATGCACGTGCCGGATAGCTTGTTTATTCAGCTTTACTTTGCGTATTTTACGTTCTCTTTACGTCAATTTGTCGCTAAAAAATAATAATAATAAATTCTTAAAAAGAATAATAATATTCGGTATTTCATATTCATTCTAATTTTTTTTTTCGATACGTTGCATTTTTTAAAGTCACTTTTAATGTCAAAAATGTTTTAAATTTTTTATTATTCTATTTTCCCTTTTGAAAAAATGGATCAAATACATCGTTGTCATTCTATATTGTTTTTCCATTTTTCAAATTATTCAAAATTTAGCTTTTCAGTAAAAACCTTTTTGAAAAAATATTTCTTATTATCTCAAATACTTCAAAACGACTAAATATTACATAAACTTTTTTCATACTATTCCAAAAAATTAAGGGAGCAAGAAAATTTCTTAAATTTTCTATTGATATTTGAAAGACTGTAACTCAATGAAAAATGGTCGTATTCAGATTTAGAAAAAAATTTTTTTAAAGCTTCAACTTTCTAGTCTTAAGATCTTTTAGCAAAAATTTTTCCGAGCTACGGTTATTATCTTAAGAAACAACGCAAGGACCAAAAAAGATATTTGGGAAATGTATTTGGAAAAACTTTTATTAGTTAAATCAATGCATGGGCCGGAAAGCTAGTTCCTTCAGCTTTTCTTTGCGTTTTTATGTTCTTTTTACGTCAATTTGTCGCTGAAATATTTAATTTTTAATGAAAAAAATTTGTTTGTTTTTGGTCATCGAAATTTCAGCAACCAATGAGTGCACAGAAAATGTAAAATTAATTTCAAAAACTGAAATAAATTTTCTACAAGATATTTTTACAATTGAAAAAAAAATTCTCTCAAAATTGATTAAAAAAAAAGGAAAAAGTAACTTTTTTGTTGTTTTAATAAATCTGCGGTATATTCACAAATATTGATGGGAAGACTAATGTGTCCTGTTTTTTTTTACAGCTTAATGTACCTCCAATAACTGTAAATTTTTGAATCCATTATCAAACTGTTTTGTCGGACCAATTGATCAAAATTTTACAAAAGACTTAAAGGAATTTATTTCTTAACATTGTGGAATCTTATCAAAATGGACAAAAAGCACTTTTTTTAACTTTCTTACAATTTTGCATGTTAAATCTGAAAAAAATTTCTTTTATATTTTTGAAAATTTGTAAGAAATGCAAAAAACTATACTGACTAATTTTTGAGTCTATTCAGATTTTGCATACTCTAATTTTACTTATCTCAAATTAATTACATTAATTAAAAATTGATATTCCCAATAAGCTGTTTTCAGCACTCGATTTACGAACATTCATGCAAATTTTTTAAAAAAAGGTAAATTTTCTAAAAATTGTTTCCGAATTTTTCTTAATTTTAACAGTATTGCAATATTTTTTAAAACTCAATAATTTCAAGCATTTTGCAACTTTGGACATGTACTACTTTTTTTCTGTTATTTATTGATTTCTTTTTTTTGTATTATACAAAAAATTATCTTGTTTTTAAATGTTCTAAATATTAAATACATTCATTAAATTTAGCAACAGGGAAGAAGTAACCGTTTTTTCGCGTAATTTTTGTGCAAGTTATACCAATATAAAAACTTTTTATGTTACTTGCATTGCTTTAAAGACGATTCATTTATCAAGTTTTTTGTTTATGCATCCATTGAAAATATGAAAAATTGGCGCTCATAGTGGGGAATGAATATAGTTCATTATCCTAGTGGTTTAAAAAGATATAGAATTACCAATTTCGAGAGAGTTGGGTCGAGGAATATCCCCTTATGAGAAAAAATAACACTTTTCCACTATATCATATCCTCTCTGACTACATAAAGTGTGTAATGGAGTCGCCGTCGTATTTTGCGAGAAGTGCTTGAGAATTTAATGGAAGTCAGCCAAAAGAGTGTTTTATGGACCTGCTTCCGTCTTAATAACTCAATAAGCAAATAAAATATTTGATAAAACCCAAGTTTCGTAATTTTTTCGTTGAATATCACATTTGAGGCGATTTTTTTGTTGCAGAACGAATCAGCATGGAGGTTCCTCCTCGTCCTGGCTATCTTAGCGTTTATCCCTCAAAGCATCCCAGCCGAGCATCATCGCAAGCGGGATTTGCGATCCCGAGGAACAGTTATTTACGCTGAAACGGTGAGTTTAAACCATCTCTGGTATTACCGGTGAAGGAAGTACGCTTTCGATGTTTAGACGAAGCTCACCGGAACATTACCTTCTGACTTCCGGTTCCGGTGGACGTGCAGATTTTGCTATAACTCATGCCGGAAATATCGATTAAAGATGATGGTTTAAAAAGATTGCTGTATCGAAATGTAAGCCGCTTATTGGATGGGGAGGCGAGGCACGCGCCATTTCCGGTTTGAGGTGCGGCAGGAAAAGGGAGAAAAGCTAAGTTTTTGCAGGAAAAAAACATATTGACTACCAAAATGTGAAAAACATATGTACAATCAAGAACATTAAAGCTGAAAAAAATAAAACAAATCTCGAAAATAGTTACAAACATAAGAAAAACAAATATGCGTAAAATCTCAAGATTATGAGTAGCGGTTTTAAGTTTTTTCAAAACTTTAAAAAAATTATAAAATATGTTAATTTTGTAAAAAAATAATAGTTAAATATTCCAAAAACCTAATTTCAAAAAAAACACAAAAAAAACATTAAATCAATAATTTAATTTCAAGAATAATT